TTAGAACCTAAACGAATGAAAAGTTCTATTTTCAACAGAGTTTTGTTTTTCTTTTAATAATAAATAAAACACAATCTTTTATATCCAAACTTTAGAGAATAAAATCCATTTAGATTTGTTATAAAAGGAAAAACAAAACTCTGATGGTATTTAAAATGTTTTTATTTCAGTTATTTTTAAAACGTTTGGGATTATAAACTGCATTACTGATTGGTCATGTTTACGGAGACTGTAATCTTGGCCATAAAAATTTATGCTTCGACTCCTAACTTTCTATGTAACATGTTATTATAAAAATATTTTTATAATAAATGAGGCGACCCTTTTGTTACATATTATATAATTTATAGTATAAGAAGTACTAAAATTATTAGTATAACTTATACTAATAATTTTAGTATTTCTCAAACGAAGTAAATGAAGTTTTAGTCACTGTTTAAAAGCTGTTCCGTTATTTAAAAGAAATTAAAAAAGAATAGATGGTTTTGGTAAAAAAAAAAAATATGTACCGTAGGTTCGTTCTAGAAAAGATCTTGATGATGTGAGGGGAGGGGGTTAGAAAGAGGGGCAATGTATCTGTTTTTTGCCAAATAAGAAAAAAACAAATTTTTTTGCAGACTAACGCAGTAAAACCACTTAATTAGGACCCCTTCTACCCCCTTGTACGAACCTGTACACTTTCGAAGACCCCTCCCCCTCCAAGTACGTACGCGATATTTTTTTTTTTTAAATTAGTCAATTTTCTTTTCGACTTTTTTTTTAAAGAATATAAAAAAAAAAAATTATGGCTGAAATCAGAAAAAATAACAATTCTGATTTGTTACACACGTGAAATTTAATGTTTAAAAAAAAAAATCATGTTTAGGAGAGATCAAACCGCGTACGTACTCATTGTCTTTAACACCACCACCACCACCCCCCTCTTGTACGCGTTCGTACGCTTTTGGGAAACCCTCCTCCATGCCTGCGTACGTACTTTATGGATGGCCCCTTAGCTAACATTTGCTGACTACAAATCCAATTCTGTTGACTCTAGTGTCAACTTTTAGTACCAAGTTCCTTTTCAATATGAAACTTATTTTAATAAAATTTTGGAAAATATTTTTTAATTTTTCACTTACATATCACATCAATGCAGACTTCTAACTCTCCAGGTTTTGCCGTAAGACTCACTGTTTGATAACAAATCTCACGGTCTCACGGTAAATCCCAAGTTCTCACGGTAAATTTTAAGAATTACATTCGCTCAAAACAATATAAATTTCGAAATAGGTTGTCGTTACAACAAGAGCTAGTAAAAATTGAATGCACAAGATTATAAAACGTGCACCAACAAAGAGCTTTTAACATGGGTTTGTTCATATTATAAATCAAATCTAATTTTTTAAAAAATGGCGACAAAGCAAAAACATAACAGCATATTTAGCTTAACATGGTACTCAAATTACCTGGATAGGGCAATGATTTTATGATAATCCTTTTAAAGGGATCAAAGTAAGATAAGATTTTCGATTAAGTTTTTATTGATTAACAATTATAACGGTTTTTATTAAATAATATAATTAAATAATAAGGGCTAATTCAGCTAATTTTGGTAACACTCAATGCAACTAAGGCTTGATACACGTTTTTCCGAACAAAAATATATATATTTATTCAATTACAATATATGTAAGTTTTTTTATCAAAAAGTATGACATATTTGGTATTTATAGAAAGATTATTTTAACCACTATTATTTTCTGGTAAAAGTAATGCGACTATAACAAATTGTAAAGCGTAGTTTTATTTAGAAAAGATGCAACTTTTAACATAAAGTACCTTGGGGGCTGTCCATTAATTACGTCTACAAATTTGTGGCAATTTTTACCTTCCCCACCCCCTTGCCAACAACTTGTAAAACTTTCAGTGATTCCCCTATAATATTACATCAACATTCGATAATTCCCCCCCCCCTCCTCCTCCTAAAAATAAACAAATAAAAAAAAGCAATGGAAAACAAAAATTAAGATAAAAAAATTTTTTAATTGACTAGTTTAATTTGATTAATTGACAAATTGAATCGATTACTTCTTCCTAGTTTTTGGTATCCAGGAGCTCTAATCATATAAAAACGCTTATGGAATACTATTTGTAAAAAAGTTAAGACTATTAGTTTAGAGGAACAATCTCTTTTTGAATACGGAGTCCTTAGGTACTTAGCATTCTGAGACTCCAGAACTGAAGGTTTAAAAACAAAATCTTTTAGGTCATTAGATTTTTATTTAGCAGATCATAAACCAACATGTTTAGAGCTTTTGGACACCAGAGACCGGGAAAAAATAGAGTTACTAAGCCGGAGTTTTTTTAGGATTTTGCATTCCTGATTATACTAATATTTGTGCATGTCGAGATAATAAAATTTCGATGTCAAGTTGCAGCTAAAGAGCTTCATCTTAACATCAAAAGAATCACAAGAGGCTTGCCAGCTGCAGTTTGTATAAACGTTTAAACAATATAA